TAATGAAATGTTTGTATGTACACATAGCTTTTTAGAATTTAGTATAAACTTTTAATTTAACTTAATTATTAATGTAAGGTTGTATTTTTAATTATGATTAATTAATTGATATACATAATAACAATTAAGTCATTCACTGTAATTAAAATTTTTATTAAGTGCATCTTGAGTTTACACTCTTGATGTCATTATTACACTTATTACGAAGTATTACGACTATTACAAGATAATTGTGCACTAATACGCGAGTAAATACCCCCACAATAAAACATATAATTTGTTTAACATACAATATACACAAATATTTTTCTTTATTCACTTTCTGAACTAGAATCAAATGAAACATTAATAACAATTGCAGGGATTCTTGTTTTGCAAAACTATTACATATCATTAGAATCGTGAGAATTTGCAGATTCCGAATATATTGTTCAAAATTAATTATCTGTAAAACTAAAATTCTTTAAAATTTTTATTGCACTGTAACGTGCAGTTTATTAGGACCCTCATAAACTTGGGACTTGTGAACGCACGGACGACTGGGGATTAGAAGTGACAATTTAAACCATATTTTGAACCAAGTCTAAAATTAACATTTTTTTCACAAAAGGCGGTCCTTATTTCAAAACTCCGCCAACTCTTTCATTTTTATGATGTTCTGCGCGAAAATGACTAAAACTCGTCGTTTTCCGAGGGCAAACTCTCGATGGACAGAGTATAGGTTATTATTTACTATCTACTAGTTTACTATTTACTACGCTACTGTTTACTACGTTACTATTTACTACGTTACTATTTATTATCTACTTGTTTACTATTTACTACGTTACTATTTACTACGTTACTATTTGCTATCTAACTAGTTACTAGTTTCTTATTTACTATCTACTACGCTACTATTTACTAGGTTATTATTTACTATTTACTAGTTTACTATTTGCTACGTTACTATTTACTACGTTACTATTTACTAGGTTATTATTTACTATCTACTAGTTTACTATTTACTACGCTACTGTTTACTACGTTACTATTTACTACGTTACTATTTATTATCTACTTGTTTACTATTTACTACGTTACTATTTACTACGTTACTATTTACTACGTTACTATTTACTAGGTTATTATTTATTATCTACTAGTTTACTATTTACTACGTTACTATTTACTACCTTACTATTTACTAGTTTATTATTTACTATCTACTAGTTTACTATTTACTACGTTACTATTTGCTACGTTACTATTTACTAGTTTACTATTTACTACGTTACTATTTACTTGGTTATTATTTACTATCTACTAGTTTACTATTTACTACGTTACTATTTGCTACCTTACTATTTACTAGTTTATTATTTACTATCTACTACGTTACTATTTACTAGGTTATTATTTACTATCTACTAGTTTACTATTTAAGAGTTTACTATTTACTAGCATATTTACAAAAATAAAAAATTTATTTACTTTACTATTTACTAGTTCATTATTTACTATCTACTAGTTTACTATTTACTACTTTACTATTTACTACGTTACTATTTACTACGTTACTATTTGCTACGTTACTATTTACTAGGTTATTATTTACTATCTGCTAGTTTACTATTTACTACGTTACTATTTGCTATCTAACTAGTTACTAGTTTCTTATTTACTATCTACTACGCTACTATTTACTAGGTTATTATTTACTATTTACTAGTTTACTATTTGCTACGTTACTATTTACTACGTTACTATTTACTAGGTTATTATTTACTATCTACTAGTTTACTATTTACTACGCTACTATTTACTACGTTACTATTTACTACGTTACTATTTATTATGTACTTGTTTACTATTTACTACGTTACTATTTACTACGTTACTATTTACTAGGTTATTATTTATTATCTACTAGTTTACTATTTACTACGTTACTATTTACTACCTTACTATTTACTAGTTTATTATTTACTATCTACTAGTTTACTATTTACTACGTTACTATTTGCTACGTTACTATTTACTAGTTTACTATTTACTACGTTACTATTTACTAGGTTATTATTTACTATCTACTAGTTTACTATTTACTACGTTACTATTTACTTGGTTATTATTTACTATCTACTAGTTTACTATTTACTACGTTACTATTTACTACGTTAGTATTTACTACGTTACTATTTGCTACCTTACTATTTACTAGTTTATTATTTACTATCTACTACGTTACTATTTACTAGGTTATTATTTACTATCTACTAGTTTACTATTTAAGAGTTTACTATTTACTACACGGAGAAAAAGAAAAAGTAATTTTTACTACTTTCAGAGTAAAACTGGACCAACTCGAAGTTTCTGCGCATCTCTGGCAATTTTTACTCCAAAAATAGTAAAATTTATTATTTCTGTAGTAAATTTTACTGTTTCCGTAGTAAGTTTTACTATTTCTAGAGTAAATTTTACTATTTTTGGAGTAAAAATTGCCAGAGATGCGCAGAAACTTCGAGTTGGTCCAGTTTTACTCTGAAAGTAGTAAAAGTTACTTTATAAAAGAAATCTTTTTTCTCCGTGTAGCATATTTACAAAAATAAAAAATTTATTTACTTTACTATTTACTAGTTCATTATTTACTATCTACTAGTTTACTATTTACTACTTTACTATTTACTACGTTACTATTTACTACGTTACTATTTGCTACGTTACTATTTACTAGGTTATTATTTACTATCTGCTAGTTTACTATTTACTACGTTACTATTTGCTATCTAACTAGTTACTAGTTTCTTATTTACTATCTACTACGCTACTATTTACTAGTTTACTATTTGCTACGTTACTATTTACTACGTTACTATTTGCTATCTAACTATTTACTAGTTTCTTATTTACTATCCACTACGTTACTATTTACTACGTTACTTTTTACTAGTTTATTATTTACTATCTACTAGTTTACTATTTACTTCGTTACTATTTACTAGTATATTTACAAAAATAAAATATTTATTTACTTTACTATTTACTAGTTTATTATTTACTATTTAAGTGTTTACTATTTTCTAGTATATTTACAAAAATAAAATATATTTATTATTATTAAAGAATATTTAATTTTAGATAAAAAAAAAATAAAACACATTTTCCTAAAACAGAAAAAAAAAATTCGATTACATTAATGTATAGACCCTTCTGAGAAAACAGGTAGAGCAACGCAGCCAACGTCTCAATTAAAAGAAATCCTTAGTGTCTATTCGCGTGACCGTAAAAGCCATTTCCGAACGCAGTAAAAAAAAAAAAGACCGTAAAGGGCAGACAAATACTTCTTCGGTCAGACAAATACGATTCTGGTTAGACTAAAAGAGAGAGAGCAAGAGAGAAAAAGAGAAAATTAGTAGCCAAGTAAACTAGCGAAAGGGAAAGAGAGCTTAGAGGTTTTCTCTCCATAAAGGTGTATAAGGGTGAGGGAGGGTGTTAGGTTGGGGCTAATTGGGTGAGGACTCGATTACGAGTTACTTCACACAGTCCACACAACAGTGTGTTTCTCAACGCGACACACGTATATACAATTCAAGCTGACTGGTCAAAATAAAACTGTGCCAAGAAAAAAAGGGGGGGGGGATTTTTTTTTCTTTTTCCACCAAAAATTTAGCTTTGTTTTTTTTTTTTTCCTCGTCTACTTTCGCTTGGGAAAATTGTCACCGCAAAGTTGCTCATCGAAAAAATATGTGGACCTCTGAAGATCTTTAGGAAAGATACGTGACCCAAAGATCAGGTCACGATCCAACGTCTAAAATTCAACCCTGAGGGCTTTGCCACCTCTGAGTTAAAGCGCGTCGACCCCCTTCTCTCTGCCCCCCCCCCTCCCCACACCCTTCAAGACTTCGTTCCTTTGCCATCTCACGTCCCTTGACACAGAAATTAACCTCGATTTCATTACCAACTAGAAAACGAATGACAATTTTCCCAAGTCGTCTGGATCTTAAATTAACTCTTGAAAATTATGCGCGCACTATATATTTAGTGAGAAATTTTAAGACTCAAATAACGTGCCAAAAATTTTTGAAAGCATTTACCATTTTATTTTAATGGATAATTTACCAAATGAGTAATGAGAAAATCGTATTTTTCTAATTCAATTATCAAAAGATATTTAAAAAATTTTTAATAAAAAAATTAATATTATTATAAAAGAAGAAACTTTTTTTTGGGAAAAAATTAAAAAAAATATCCAGAGAATATTTTTTTCACATTTAATTTTCTTTTCAAATAAAGTGGGTGGGAAAAAAATTTATTTCTCAAATCTTCCTTTTTAAAAGTGACTTTTAAAGAGTTTTATAAAGTGAAAATATTTTTTCGAAATAAAATATATTTTCTTTTTTTGGAAAAAAAAAAGAAAATTCTGAACAATAACTTGAGAAAATTTCCTTCATGAATTCCAAAGTAGTAAAAATTTACTATATGGTGACATATACGACAACATAAAAATGTTTCGAAAAACTTTCTTTACGTCTTTGAAAACTATTAGAAACTTTATACTTTTATACACATATGTCATGGTTAAAGAAAATATAAAGAATATATATATATTTTTGTACAAAATTTCTTATAAATACGATAAATAGTATTATTTTTATTTTGTATATACATATATAACCTACTATTGAAAATTTTAACTTAACCAATTTATTGCCCAAAAAAAAAATTATAATGTTAATTAAATTTGAAAAAATCAAATATTTCAAGATGAGTAATTATGAAAATGTTTTTCGACAACGATCGTTAAGACTTTTTATTTTTCAAAGAGTAATTATTTCCAACGACTAAAGTAGGTATAGGAAAACTAAGAGCGCACTTTACCTACAACCCTGCTGGTTAGTCATTAATCTCTCGACAGATAATACTTTTCCCCTTCTATTTCACTTTACTACTCTTTCATCTTGTACTCAGCAACAGATGCACGATTAGTTACAAAATAATCTCTTCTCTTTATTTTCTAGTTATTGGCCTTATGATCTCCTGAAGACTTTTTCGGTGCAGCAGAACATGAAGACTGATCGCCTATCAACATTGCCCGGGATCTGTATACTGCTGACACTACTGGGCTCTATTTTTCATGTCGAAACATTCGATATTCGTAAGTTAAAATATTTCTATTTTTTTTTTTTTATTAGAAAAAATTCTGGTAACTAAAACTCAAAAGTTCAAAAAAAAACTAAATTATTGAAAAAAGAAACGATCTTTTCGTCCTTTTATCATAGATCGGTAATAGAAATTTCTACAATGATCATCGGTCGGTAAAATAAATTTCTCTAATATCAACAGTCGGTAAAATAAATTTCTCTAATATCAACAGTCGGTAATAAAAATAATTGCAATTGCAACAGATTTCCACAATTATCATCGGTCGGTAAAATAAATTTCTCTAATATCAACAGTCGGTAAAATAAATTTCTCTAATATCAACAGTCGGTAATAAAAATAATTGCAATTGCAACAGATTTCCACAATTATCATCGGTCGGTAAAATAAATTTCTCTAATATCAACAGTCGGTAAAATAAATTTCTCTAATATCAACAGTCGGTAATAAAAATAATTGCAATTGCAACAGATTTCAACAATGATCATCGGTCGGTAAAATAAAATTCTCTAATATCAACAGTCGGTAATAAAAATAATTGCAATTGCAACAGATTTCAACAATGATCATCGGTCGGTAAAATAAATTTCTCTAATATCAACAGTCGGTAATAAAAATAATTGCAATTGCAACAGATTTCAACAATGATCATCGGTCGGTAAAATAAAATTCTCTAATATCAACAGTCGGTAATAAAAATAATTGCAATTGCAACAGATTTCCACAATGATCATCGGTCGGTAAAATAAAATTCTCTAATATCAACAGTCGGTAATAAAAATAATTGCAATTGCAACAGATTTCTACAACGATCATCAGTCGGTAAAATAAATTTCCCCAATGTCACTGTATCGACAGTCGATAATATAAATAACTACATTTGCAATCCACCAAGAAAAAATCTAACAGAATTCTATAAAACCACAGCATCGATAGAATTTTTTTCTCTTTGTAATATAGAGCAAAATATGGTTATTTTTGTCACCAATTTTCCAGTCGGACATTATATTATGCGACACTTATTTCAACGTCATGTTTGAATAATAAAGCAAAAAAAAAAATTCATTGTTGAAGGATCTATATCACGAATACATTACAGGTCAAGTGATGAAATGCTAATGAGTATATATGGCGACTGTATATATATGTTGAAATCTGCAATTAGTGACAAAGCTTTGAAAGTATATTAATGTTAATTGCACTCGGTTCATGACAGAGATCAACTTTATCAATTTTACATCTACGTGTCGCTTTTATCAAGCCCTTTTCTTTTGCGAGGAGGTCAAAAAAAAAAAAAAAAAAAAATCTTTTGTACTTGATATTGAAATAAACACATTATTCATTCGTAGAAACTCAATAATTATATATGAAAAAAAATTTCAACACCCTCCCAAAAAAAAAGAAGAATTGTATAAATTTTTAGGATTTTAATTGTTAAAAAAAGGGCTCATTTAAAAAAGTGACTTTTCTCTGCTTTGTAGATTGTTACCAGTAGCCCAATTAATGCCAGAGAATAAAACGAGCGAAGCGTAAAGTCTAGCACCAGAAGGCTCGTCGTCGTCGTCGTCGTTGTCGTTGCAAAAATAAAAGAAAAAAATAAAATTGAAAAAAAATATTGTGGGGTAAAATTGAAAACTGTGAATCATTTCTTTTTAACAAGAGAAATCAATATCGTTGCAAGCTATGATAGAAAAAGTAGGTCACCAGTGTGAGACAAAAATTTATTCCACCTAATTTGCTATATAAATTGAACGTGAATATTTTTTCACAATACCGAACGTATTTCATAGCGACAAATACTGACGGATCGTATCTTTTCAATTTTTTTTTTTTTTTCATTTTTTTTTTCGCTAATGCCATTTTCCTTGTTAAATGAAGTGTGTTCTTTAAAAATACATGCGCATATATTCTGAAAATTAATTCCCGTGTGTGTATTTAATTGTACTATTTGCTAGATTATTTATTGCTATTGTCTTGTTATTTTTTTTCAATTAAACAAGTGACAATAAAAAAAATATTTTTGTAAATCAAAAAAAAATTAAATCAACTTGTACTTAAAAAAAAAAAAATTACAAATAGCCCAAAACGATTCTTTTTTTTTATATAACTAAATTATATTATATTTGAAAAAAAAAATTTCACGTTTGTAAACAAAAAATATTTTCATGAAATTATTGTCTCAATTTAATTAAAAATGGTACTTTTTTTCGAGAATCAAATATTTAATGAAGATTTCCAATTACTTTGCTAGCAAAACATTTTGCGGTTAAATTAACCGTCAACGATGCAATCAAATCTGTTTTTCCCATTTCATTTTTTTTCCTCAATTTTATTAAAATTTTTATTAATCATTTAATTTATTAAATTAAAAACATTGTTAAAAATATATTATCATAATAAACAAAATTTATTTTTATTCCTTTTTTTTAAATTTTTATTTTCTCTTCCTTCAATGTTGACCGGTAAATATTTAACGTAATTAGTAAACGATGAAAACAGTTCCCCCTTTGTGTTTTACATAATTAAAAGGTTACCCGCTAAATATTTGTTAATTATTATTATTTCTACCGTAGTAAAATTTTGTAAATATATAAATAGAATGTTAATAATTGAAAATATAATAATTAAAAAAAAAAAGCAGAAAAAATAGTGTTGCCCTTATTTATATATAGGAAAAAATAAAAATAGAAAGTAAATGCAAACAATCGATTCATGTTAATTTAAAATTACTTACAAAAAAAAAACAAACAGAAACATAACTCATATCTTTTCAACAGTTGGAAATTTATTTAAGCATACAAAAAAAAGAGAGCAAATTTAGTTGAGAGCTTTCGATAAAAAAGACAAATAAGCCCCTCGGTTAGTAGATTGTTTATCGATTAAACAAGCACAAACTATTCTAGGTTAAGGCTTTCTTTAACCCTTTAAGACTCGCGCTGTTCAAGTGTTTTACATTAAAACAAAAAAGTAATATGTGTAAAAAAAAAATTTGTTCATAAAAATTTTGTTTTTTTCGCGCAGAATTATTTGTAATTCAGCAGAAAATTTAATTTTTTTTATTAGTAGTCATGGTCAGAATTAGTGGACACAAAAATTAATACTACTTATCAGTAGTAAAATTCAGTAATAGTCAGACAGAACAAAAAATTAATATTGTACGAAAATTTTCAGTTTTAGTAGTAAAACTCGGTTTTAGTCAGACAGGAGAGTTTATAATTGAAAATTTGTCGCTGAGTAGTATTAATTTTTAGTCTGACTTATCAGTAGTAAAAATCAATTTTAGTCAGACAGAACATTTAAAATTTTCCGAATATTTTTAGTTTCAGTAGTAAAACTCGGTTTTTGTCAGACAGAAGAGTTTGTAATTGAAAATTAATTGTTCAGTAGAAAAAGTATTTTTGAGTCAGGCGTATTAGTAGTAAAAGTCAGTTTCAGTCAAACAGAAAGTAAATTTTTATGAGATTAATTTCAGTAGTAACAAATAGTTTTAGTCAGCCTAAAAATTCTATTTATAAATTCTTGTCCCAGTAGTAGAAGTGTGTTTTAGTAAGACTTATCAGTAGTAAAAGTAAATTATAGTCAGACAGAACAATTAGAATTTAGTAAGATTTTCAGTAGTAAAATTTAGTTTTAGTCAGCCAGGAGAGTTTATAATTGGAAATTTGTTGCTCAGCAGTATTATTTTTTAGTCTAACTTATCAGTAGTAAAAGTCAATTTTCGTCAGACAGAACATTTAAAATTTTCCGAAGATTTTTAGTTTCAGTAGTAAAACTCGGTTTTAGTCAGACAGAAGAGTTTGTAATTGAAAATTTATTGTTCAGTAGTAAAAGTATTTTTGAGTCAGGCGTATCAGTAGTAAAAGTCAGTTTCAGTCAAACAAAAAGTAAATTTTTATGAGATTAATTTCAGTAGTAAAAAATAGTTTTAGTCAGCCTAAAAATTCTAATTAAAAATTCTTGTCCCAGTAGTAGAAGTGTATTTTAGTCAGACTTATCAGTAGTAAAAATAAATTATAGTCAGACAAAACAATTAGAATTTAGTAAGATTTTCAGTAGTAAAATTTAGTTTTAGTCAGCCAGGAGAGTTTATAATTGAAAATTTGTTTCTCAGTAGGAAAAGTATGTTTTAGTCAGACTTGTCAGTAGTAAAAGTCAATTTTAGTCAGACTTATCAGTAGTAAAACTCAGTTTTAGTCAGACAGAATTTTTTTTAACTCTTGTAAAATTTGTTTAAGTAATAAAAGAGCATTTTAGTTAGACAAAATGTTACTTGAATTATAAACGTATTTAAAACGTATAATTTAATCTCTAGTAGTACAAATCAATTCTAGTCAGCCAAATAAATTTTAATCCCTCCTAAAGTATAATTATCAAAACCCTATACTGGTAATGTAATAAGAAACCTAATTAAACAAAACCTAAAAAAAATTCGAGAAGAGTGACAACAACAAAAAAACTGTTTAACGTTTGTCTGGCTTTTTGCAAACTGAACGTTGAAGAGTTAAAATGTATCTCGTTAACTGAGTGTATGTACTTCGTGTCAAAAAAACAATGTCATCATGGAGGAAGATGCTATCCTTGAATTTTTCAGTGAGCTTAGATGGTGCGCACTCTAGGGTTTTTTTTCCCCTTGTTTTACCTTCAAGTCACAAGATGAGGGCGCCATCAGTCTCAACGTAATGACTCAAGGGATCAATTATTTTGAATCTAATGCGACAGGATAAATCGCATCCTCAGTAAAGAAGCTTTCTTCCGCTTCCGCTACGCTTCACAGAGAAACACCAAGTCTTCTTAAAGTTAAGACGACCCTGCGACTCTCTTCTAATTATTCGATTAATCACGTTTACTCTTCGAGAAAGTCGAGGGCCAGCACACCACGACAGAGAGCTAAGGTTGAAATACTGCGAGACGATTGTAATCGGAGCAAAAAAAGAAAAGAAAAAAGAAAAATTCAAGAGAAAGAGTAAAGGCAAATTGAGAGAAAAGTCAAGTGGT